TGGTGTGATACAGCCGGCTGTTGTCTCCCGCAGGCTTTCGTTGATGCGCATGTGGCCGAATAGCCCCATGCAGTGCATGAATATGCGTGGACAGTGTGAACAGTAGAGGCGGATGCGGCTGCTGTAGGTTGGTGCTCCGGGCGTTGGTTCGCCAGTCTCTGTGCGATGAATTTGCAAGTGACCGACTAAGCCGATGTGTGAAGTTAATGTCTGATTGTAATGAGGACAGGTATGGATGAAGTCCACATTGGTGGTGAGGGGGGAGTTGGTGTGTCAGGATTTGTGTAGTGTTCACGGGCATGGATGATGATGATAATGGCCTTCGCCATCGATTTCATCATCGATTTTGGTGCTGTGGGGAAGGGCGCTGCCCAGATACGTAAAGTTTTTCATCCTTTGCTGTTGAATTCCGTCCACGCTTATTTGCGACGCATTGTGGGCAATGATGGGTGGCGGTTAATGCATGACCACCGTCTTCTGCATTTTGATGATCAGACATAAGTTCTCGCAAGCGGCGGAAAAGAGGTCCATGGCACATTGCATGTTCTCTTCCGAGGTGGTGTTGAGGGCGCAAGCGTCGACGATGAAAAGTTCGTGAACGGTGGCTGGGGATACGCGCAATTGGAAGTGCACCCGCCGTTGATTGAGGAGGTGGCCGTCCGTCTTGTAGGTTATGCGGGTCCCGGGGGGGGGGCGCTCATCACGGTGGGCGTCCATCGGCATGGCAGTGAACATGGATTATCTACCTGCAATGTGCTAATGCTTATTCCTCTCTCATAGAGTCAATCGCACCAATTTCTGTGCTAGTTCAAAACATGAGCCTGCAATTCAACTGGGTTATACGCATCCTCTCCTCTGAAGGTTTCCAAATAATAGAGCGTTTCATCAACGACAGAGTTTGGAGAAAAGGGGTGTTTATGTGTGAGACTTACCTCCTAAGCGGTTTTGACCGGGCATCTGAAGGCTTGGAAGTATTTGATGGACAAATTTGGTGCCAAAAAATTTATTATATGCTAATTGCCGGGAGAACGCAGTCTGATGATCATTCTGAATAGCTAAATTAAAACATTAACAGTGTCGAGACTTTGGAAATTTGCGGCCAATTCCAGACTCAAGAGACGCAAACAATGTAAACTCCCTTCCATGCAGGTTGGAGAAGTAAGTTGCATTAATAAACTATAGTTTTAAAATTAAATGCGGTCGTTTCTCGCAAACGTTGCCCGTTCCCAATCGTTTCCAGACTTGAATTAATTAATTCCTTTGTTGCTCCTATGCAGCAAATCATCGCTTTTTTAAAAATCCCATCTTCTAAATTTGGTCTTGGCCAAAATGTAAGAGATGATTATCGTATTTGGCCAAGAGACAACGAACCAGATCTCATCAACGCATGTCGATGGGTTGCAATCATTAGAAGCACACGGGGTCGGTGGTGAGGAAATGTCCTTGTCATTAGTTCTCCATCCGACGCCACACAAGTCGATCACCTAATCCATAAGAAAAATTAGTTCACTAGTGAATATGCTACCCCGAATACCATTTACGCAGCTGACCAGACCTGGCAATGAGTCTTAGGACGCAATAGTCCCACGGGCTGCTTTACTCTGACAGACCAAGAAGTATTTAAGTAGTATGCCCAAATACGCCATGCCGCGTCGTCAGCGTCATTCAGCTCCATTTGTGTTGGATGCCTCCTCGTATGCGTAATAACAGGCCGGAATCGGATTGCGGACACGCTCACTGCAGACGTTGTCGCCTTGCATGGTCACGTGGCGTAGGCGTGAAATATGCAGCGCGTACTGGTAAACTTGCTCGAAATCCGTTCTTTTCTTGTTTATCGACGAGGTAGCTCTGCTCGCGAATAAATATCCGAATGACTGTAACACACACACACATCCGTACTACCGGTATGCTTAAGATGCCGCCATACGTAAAAACCAATATTTTCGGCAAAAAAGTCAAATTCAAGCAGAAAATTCGAAAAATGACTAGATGTGAGTTTCGAGGTCATCGGCGGGAAAGGTTTAACTAAGGTCAATCGCCAGCGTCGGAATTGTTTTTCTGTTCACAAGCGGTAGCATTTCAACAAACAGCCAATGACTTTAAAGCAGTCACAGGGAACGTCCAATCAGTGATGCGGATTTGGAAACCGCAACCTCAAACCGTGAACTCTCCCTCCGGTACCTAGCTCACTGACGTTTATCCTGCCCAGGATCAAAACACAAGCCCTTATTTTATAGAACGCTGTGCAGTTTTCAAGCAGTGCGATTTTGCCCGGTGTTTGCCTACCTCTGATCGACAAAAAGTTTTCTTTGCTGTTCACAGTTTAGAATTTAAACTGTTGCTCTGAGCAAACTCAATGATTCTTATTTTCTTTAACTAGTTCAGAGCAAGTGTCAACACGTTTGAATCGATTTTTTTGCGTTTTCACGTGTAGACCTAAATCACTTCTTTCTAAAAACCGCCATAGTTGGTTTACTCGTTCCCAAATCTATCGCAGCTCTCTGGCGATTCAGTTTCCAGTCGGTTAAAACATTTGAACGTGTTAAGTAATCGGTAAGTTGCCGGATGTGGTAGCAGGAATTATTTCGATCAGTTCCGCTGGGCTTTTCAGGCATCCTTTAGAAAGTCGCCTAATGAGACTCAATGATACATGCAGAATCTGACAGACGGACATGCAATCTCTCGGTCAGAGCATTTACCGGAGGGTATTTAATATGGACATCAGTTTTGCCGTCGCAAACGGTGATGTCCACCATGTGCGCCAGAGAAGGCAGGGAGCAGTATGGTGATTAACGCATGAATAAGTTTACAGTGATAGCAGACTTGCGCCTGCCCGGGCGTAATGACGAGATAAAGTTGGGACGACCGGAGGGAGCGGCAAACGCGGCACCGGAAAAGGCTAAACAACCTGTCTACGTGGGCCACACCCACGACTTGGGTAACAGAAACCGGTGGAGGCGAGCCGGTACAGACTACCTTTTCTGTCTCTGAAACCACATAGCAGCCTCCCAAGCCGCATCTTGCTCGGATGTGGTTTGGTATTCCCACCTAAAGTTAAAAAAACCCCAGTCACCTCTACTCAGGGACCGGTGGTAATAGGGTTTTTTACAGGTGGGATCAGGAAACGCACAGGCGGCAGGGGCAAGTAGTTATATGCAAAAGAAAAGCTATTGGGAATGCGCGGTTGTACTTTGAATGGTTGAGAAATAGATGCGCTAACCCCTAATCCCAACACTAACCCCTAAATATAACCCCTAATCCTAAACCCTTACCCTAACCGCCAGCCCCAACAGTATTGCGTCCATCAGGTGGGGCTACCTGACCACATCTTACCCGCGACTGTTAACGGGTCGTGATAGCTCTAAGACGGGTTAGATTGTACACAATGAGCTCGGCGTCCCTGATGTCGGCTTCACTCATACTTCGCCTTGCCAGTCGCCAGCTCACTGTCCAAACTAGCCGGCCATTGGATGCAAGTGGACACCTGCACGCGCCACACGTGACCTGGCCAGCAGAATACACCAAATTCTCCCCCCCCTAAAGGTCAGGGACAGATATGAGGCATGACTTTTATTCGGTGATGACGGATACAAGCTCCTTGTATGTCACGATACAGTATGTGCCGCGTAGGCCATTTGTTTAGGCATTTAAGTACAGTAGGTTGGCTAACGCACGAAATGTCAACCAAAATTCTGAAATGCCTTTTCTTCTCAAAAGGATTCATTAAGAAGTGTTGCAAAACTAATAATCGTGCAATGTAATTCTATAATAATTCAGTTACCCGAGGATGTCGGCTTTAGAATGGACTTTTTTTCCGGCTTCATGCAAGAACTACACTCTGTAAAAAATGACTGCATATCTAGCATGCATTTTTTCTCTGATTTTCGCTTCCCTTAAACATTCAGTTATATTTCATGGAAAATACGCCTAAAAATATTCAGTATTTCGCGTCGTCCGGCGGGGCCTCGTAGCTCAAGTGGTTAGAGCGTTGGCTGTACTGAAGCCTTCTCCTGACTGCGTGGGTTCGAATCCCACCGAGGCGCCGAGTTTTTCACAGTTGGGTCAATATGAATCATTCAGTATTTTGCTCTTTCGGTAGTCATTACGGCTTTTTCCAATTCTATACTCAAAAAGGGCAGAATACAACTTTAAAAAGTTTCTTATTATGAGATTTTTGATACCGTGGATTGGCCTTTCATAAAACGCCATGTCTCCGCATTTACCAATTTTGTCTTGTTAATTTTACAGTGTAGCTCAAATCCACTGTTAAATTTTGTGAACCCCATATGGTTTCCTCTTAAAACCGTCGGGAAATATATGGTTTTTCGTACGTGGAAAATATACGGCTTGTAGTTTGGAAACGGTGAGTGCAAGTGTAATGGAGGGTCGGGTTCAAAATCAGTCGGGAATTAGAAGCTTTTGAAAACTGAATTATATCTTTCCTCCAGGCATAATATTGGAAGACGTCATTTTCTACGGAATAAACAAACGAAGGAACATTCTTATGCATGTTTTCCACGAAATATAATTGAATATTTAAGGGCATCGAAAATCAGAGAGAAAAATGCATGCTAGTTAAGTAGTCATTTTTCGCAGAGTACAGTTTTTGCATGTGGCCGGATGGAACTTTTTTCGAAAGCCAACATCCTGCAGTAACTGAATTATTATTTAATTATGCTGCAGGATGATCAGTTTCACAACCCTGCCTGATTAGTCTTTTCAAGTCGAAAACGCATATAGGAATTTCGGTTGACATTGCTTGAGTTAGCCCACCTACTGTAGGTCAATATTTAATGTCCTACCTTCGCTGAGGTGTGAGGGGCTTCCGTGTGCGACATTTGAGGATACTAGCCGAGCAGGCAGTTTACGGGAGATGCGCTCGACAGTGCTAGGTGAATGCCTCAAGCGGTGAGAACAAGAGAGAGGGAAAAACACTCTCCTCGCGCACTCTTTTACTGACACGGCAAGAAATGACTGACGCGTTGAGCACCGTGGCGTAGCTACGCCAGATCGCCCCCACTCCATTCGCTAAAGTCGCGTCTAGTTTCCACTGGCAGAGCGTGGTTACGGGGTACTTCTGCTGCGTTGACTTTGTCAGTCGCGATCCGACTGCCTTCGTGGGCCGCCGCTACAGTCTTTCCGGTAATTCGGTCCTGGACGAGGCTCTTCCAGGCATTCACTAGGGATTTATAGACTTTTGAGGAAGTTCCACAGAGAAAGACAGGGACCGCACCGAGGCCGTTGAAGGTCAGCTGACAGCGGTCCTCAAAGTCCTTCACAGAGAAGGTCATTTATCTGACAAAGAATATGAACGACTAAGACCAGTGGGCACGACCATACCCAGAATGTACGGCCTTCCGAAAATTCACAAACACGGACTACCCCTACGTCCGATCCTGGATATGAGGAATTCGCCCTATCACAGCATGGCAAAGTGGCTAGTCGAAAAGCTTAAACCGCTGCAAAGTCATTTGTATCCCCTAAGTCTGAAGGACACATTCGAGTTTGTCGAGGCGATAAAGAATATTAACGTTGACGGACGGAGGATGCTATCTTCAGACGTAGCATCATTGTTTACTAACGTACCCGTAGCCGAAACAATAAACTACCTTTGTGACGTTATCCGCGACACGAACTACCCGTTAGGCATGCCGCTGGAGACGCTAAAAGAGCTACTGACACGGTGCACGCAAAACGTCCAGTTTCTCTGCAATGGTCAGTTGTACAGGCCAATAGACGGCGTAGCAATGGGCTCACCGCCCGGCCCATTCCTCGCAAATGTCTTCATGGGCAAAGTCGAGATGACAAGTTTACAAGACACCATTAATGACCTCAGCTTCTACGGTCGGTACGTAGACGATATTTTCTGCCTGACGGATGTTACCACCGACACGGACGTCCTGATTCAAAAATTCAACAATTCACACCCCTCGCTAACGTTCTCTGCAGAGTTTGAGGCAAACAATGAAATCGCGTTCCTCGACGTTCTTCTGCACAGACAAGAGGATGGGTCTATCCAACGTAGGTTATTCCGAAAGAAAACCTGGACGGGACAATACATTAACTTTCACAGTTTTGTTCCCCTTAATACTAAACGCAATTTGGTCCAGGGATTGGCAGCTAGAGTGCGACGTATCTGCACTCCTGAGACTGTGGAGGCAGAACTCCAGCAGCTGAGGGATACACTCCAAGAAAACGGATACCCAGAAAGACTTATCCTTCGAAATATAGCGGAACGCGCTGCAAAGCCTACCATGGCAACCGCAGAAAAGAAGGACTTATTTATGAGACTGCCTTTTCAAGGGGACGCAGCAAGTGAACTTGTAAGAAGACGTCTGAAGACAGCGATCACTAGCGCTTTCCCCACGGCGAACTTACGTGTGTGTTTCACTAACTCTCCCCTCCTACGCATGGAAGGTAAAGACCGACTCCCGTTGCAGGCCACATCGATGTGTATTTATTCATTTGCTTGCTCCTGTGGAGCGAGATACATTGGCCGTACAACGAGGCGCTTGGAAAAGAGATTACGTGAACACATACCGGCCTGGCTAGGCAAAGGTGAGAAGAAATCAATCTCGAGTTCTATTCTTGCACATCTTGTCGATACGAATCACCGAGTCGATGCCAAAGAAGCCTTTCAGATTGTCTACCGGACACCAGCAAGCTTCTCCAAAGGCCTACGCCAACGGGTGCTAGCTACAGCCGAGGCAGTGGCTATACGGCTAGCCAATCCAGTGCTATGCTGACAGAAGACTCTGACACAGGCGCTCTGTCTTCCGTGGCCGACGCCGACCCCAACGTCGCCACAACCTCCTGATGCCAGAGTGTGTGCACAAGGTACCCGACATACTCACAGCTTATGCCCCCCCCCCCCTCCCTTGCCCCCTTAACCCAAGGGCCACGACACGCCGACCACGCCATAGCACGCCTTGCCATGCGAATGGCGTGGGAACGATGAATGTTTATTGTCCCCGAATCATTTAAAAGTCATGTAATTCGCATAACTTAAACTTCTTTGTATCCGTTTTGGCCTGAGGAAGAGGTACTGAAAACACGTGTTCGCCAATTTGACTTTTCAATTGTAACATGGGAATATTCGCTGAACTTAGACAATCCAAAGATCCCTCGGTGTTAAAGGAACTCAATGGATTCCTAAAGTTTGACACCAGACTTGCGGAGGCACATGTGACGAGAAAATTCTTATCAGGGCGTATTGACAAGTGTGAATATCCGAAACACTACTGGAAAACCTTACGAAGAAACCATATTGCCACTACCCCAGCCGCACTAAGACGACATGCAGAAAGTCACCTGGAGACAGTTAGCGCCGGAATTGAGGAACTCCAACGGAATCTGTGCCAGAGAACAGCGGCCCTGGACCGTCTTGGAAATTGCGAGAAACTGGCATTTGAAAACTACTTGCAAACTGTCAGAAGTAAAAGAATCGAGGCGAGGTGGACTAAGCTCCTTCGAAGTGTCCAACCAGTGAAGGCTCAGACGGCCCTTCCGAATAATCCGGAACGGTACGTTCATAACTATTTTAAACTGAAGTCACCTATTCGGCTTTGAATTTTATAATAGCACTAACTCGCTCTTGTTTGAGGCTTCTTTTGTCAGAATAATTGTTGCAATTTCTGTTGCACGTGGTTGTTCGCACTCTTCCGCAATTGTATGGGGTCTTCTTGCGTTTGGCTACTTTAGACTCCACGTGACATGACGCCATCAGCAGTGATTTTTCAGTTGGTATAAAACCTAGTTTTGGAAGGATTACTCGAGAGTTAAATCGGGCTCCCTTGTCTTCCAGTCATTTAACATCATGGACTGCGAAATTTGGACCACCATGTTGTTTGTTGAAATGTTCTTGCAATCTAGACGTCTTCAGATTTATTTTTGAAAAGACAGCGCCACAATGTGTGCACTGGGGTTTTTACACATCGTCATCTGTTTCAGTGCAAGCGAAATCAAACTTCATATAATCTTTATTCCATTTTCTTCTCCTTGACATAATGAAGTGCTAATAACAATTGAAGAAATATAACCTAAAATATGGATCAAGAAAAGCAACAATTAGTAGGCAGTATGAAACAAGTATGCTGAATATTTATCAGATACAGGACTGAGATGAGCAAACTGGCCTAAGAGGATTAATTGGCGTATATGGCGTTACAAAATGCGAATGGTGTCAGGAATATGCGAGGAAACATCTGCTATGGACGGAGACGCAGGAAATCTGTTTTGCACGCGCAGTAATGTCGTGCGAGTAGTTTTTGAAGACTTATTAATTTCAAACGAAAAATAAATACTATCTCGCATCCCTAGGACTGCAAGCACCCCTAGTTGAAAGCCCCTGACTTTAAAAAGATGAGAGAGGATTTTTGAAAGTCTAGCGTTGGCACAAACCGCATGCTTGGCCCGTTCCTCCACAGTGCCACGTTTGTTACCACAATTGAGGAACCAAGTATGACTCACATGTGTGCCTTTCGCCAGTCAACATACCATGACAGAGAAAATTCGGAATTGCAACCAGCAGTGATAAGAGAAGTTGGAAAGTCAATTTCTGGCCTACCAGCTCCCCCCCCCCGATCAACCAATCCAAACTTTGTTACCTGGGGTTTCGGGACAATAGCGTAGTGTCGTTAGACGTCATGCCTAACAATCTGGCAGTCAGTCTTGAGCTCGCATCCTGTCTGCTATTATAAACGTCCTCTAGCACGAGGACTTTCAGCGGTCTGACTTAATTGTTGAAAATAAGGAGAATGGTTCACTTTCGCCTGGATTGTCGCGTCCAGCCCAATGGCACCCAACGACTCAAATAGTATTTCATATTGACTCAACTGGGAAAAAAGCCTCGGTGGAATTCGAACACACAACAGTAAGGGGAAGGCTTCAGTACAACCAACGCTCTAACCACCTGAGCTACGAGACCCCGCCGCAAGACTTGAGTTTAATCACATTTGGGTCAAGTTGCCCGCCCAACCTACTGCAACGTGTGGAATCCACCAAATCTGATACAATAAGTTGACTGTCTAGGCAGGATTTCCTAAGTAATTCACCTAGAATCCACCAGATGACTACCAGGCTCACGTAATTCAAAGATGTTTTGACCGATTATGAATAGTATTTATTGGTCGGCGTTGTATGCGTGGGACTTAATGTTCCACATCTTATCTGCCACCCAAACCCTCTGGTTTCTTGTTTGAATAAGTTGACCTCAGCATGCGATAAACCGTATCACGAAACTTGAAATCGAGTTTATCGTCGGTATGGACTTTTTATCATAAAAATACGCACGCAGGTAAACTCACTCATCTTCCCCGAATTCCGAAATCACTATCATTAAAACAGTAAACAGCGGGTATTTTGAGGCCAGCTACTAGGGTACGACTGACTTGACGTGGTTTATAGGCCCAGAAGGGTTATCTCAATTTCCACTACGCTTCTAATGCTACTTTTCCCTGAGATCTCTGCAGCGCAGCTCAGAGTCTAGAAAGTTCGCACCAAGCCAGGTGGCTGGACACCATGAGAAGAGGGGTCAACCGATAGTGCACTTGGCTTATCGGCGGTTTTCGTCAAACTTCAAAGCTCTAAGTTGTCTGACTGGCAGACTGGAACACATGATTGGAATTAGACCACAATTTCTCTTACCTTTGTTAGTCATACTGAAACACAATTCTTGATTTTCTGACTATGCGTTTTTATGTTCTTCGGGTTTTCATGGCGTGCAAAAGAGCACGAAGCGCTTATTAAGGAGCATATCTGAAGTGAGACAGGGACAATAACACAGTATTTCGCTTTCAGCTAGTACCTATGTCTTGTAGACTTGACATTACGCAATTATTCCGAAGAAATGTGCTGTGATTGCGTCGAGTGTCCGTTGAGATTTCAGGCTTGACTATAATATGTCATGCCCAGGGCATTTAACATTATGTCCATTACTTCAGACGAAATTAGGCAATGTTAAACAGTAGTTAACAGTAGACAAGGCCTAACACTAGGTTTCTGCGGTTGGTTAAAGTGGGAACAAAACCATGACGAGGATTTGTTGGGCTCAGATTGTTTGCTGACCTCCTTCTCTGGTGTCGGTAACTAAATATCTCATGTCGTGCTCGCAGCAAGTGATGCAGGAAAATTTAGTTGAGGTCGGGAAGAGGCATTCGTGATGATTGAACACAGCCACGTCCAGCATTGGCGCGTTCGTATCAAGTCGGGGTTACCAAACAATCTCATTTTATTGAGTGCTGGACATGGTTCCGTTGCAATCTAACAGAACAGCCCCTCAATCGGTGTCAGC